ATTTTCCCACGCTGTGTAAAATGACTCAGAGCACTCTGATTGGGTGGCTTGAAAGCCACCCAATCAGAGTACTCTGTGTCATTTTACACAGCGTGGGAAAGTTCTTTTGAATTTTCCCACGCTGTGTAAAATGACTCATAACACTCTGATTGGGTGGCACCCACCAATCAGAGTGTTCTAAGCCTAATTGCAGGGCGGGGCAAGGCTTTATAAGCCTTGACCCGCCCTGCGGAGCTCAGTATGCGGCGTGCCCTCGAAGGGCGAACATGGATTATTATTTTTTTGCGCTCTTTTTGCGACGGGTGTAATGGATTTTTATTTGGCCTTTTTGGGGGCTGAAGAAAGAAGATTTTAGAAAAAAGAAGACGCCAAATGGTAAGTTTAATTTTTTTTTTTTTACAGGTTAGTTATTTTATTCCCCCCTCACTATTTGTAGGGTGAGGGGGGTAGGTAGGGGATAGTTTTTTTTGGGTGGGGGGTTGGTGACTAGGGGCTTGGGACCCCTAGTCACCTTGATTGGGGGGGGGTGTTTCATTTAGGGCCCCCACCCACCGCTCAGGGGTGGGGGCGGGAGGACAGTAGGTCCCCCCCCTTATTGTTTTATTAGGGCCCCCACCCACCGCGCAGGGGTGGGGGCCGGGGGGGAGGACAGTAGGTCCCCCCCCCTTATTGTTTTATTAGGGCCCCCACCCACCCACCGCGCAGGGGTGGGGGCCAGGTGGGGAGGACAGTAGGTCCCCCCCCTTATTGTTTTACTAGGGCCCCCACCCACCGCGCAGGGGTGGGGGCCGGGGGGGAAGACAGTAGGTCCCCCCCCTTATTGTTTTATTAGGGCCCCCACCCACCCACCGCGCAGGGGTGGGGGCCAGGGGGGGGAGGACAGTAGGTCCCCCCCCCTTATTGTTTTATTAGGGCCCCCACCCACCGCGCAGGGGTGGGGGCCAGGGGGGCCAGTAGGTTCCCCCCCATCTTTATTTAGGGCCCCCACGGGCATGGGGGGGGGGGGTTTATTAGTTTTGTGTTTGTTTTTTTACAGTGAGCAGCTATAAGCTGCTCACTGCTTACTACACATGCCCCTACTCGCGATATAGCGAGTAGGGGCATATTATTTACTAATACTAAGTAATCTTTACTTAGTATTAGTAAAGTTGGCTGTTAGACCAATTTAGGTCTTTCAGCCTTTTAGTAGATAGCTCCCTGATACCGTGGGAATTAGGGAGTTATCTACTAAGCGGCTGCAAAATGCAGCCACAGCAATGAATAGGATCAGAGTTTCATTCATTAGAATGAAATTCCGATCCGAATAAAATGCCGAATTGCGTTCTAAAAGAAACGAACATACTGTTGTCATTCAGTTAGAACGCAATTCGGCAGTTTCATGTAAAATGACAGGAAGCATTGTGGGAACACTGAGGAAAGCTAGGGATCATGGGAAAATTGCTCTGACCAGCGGAAATGAAGCACACTTTGCTCCTCCGCTGGTCAGAGCTGGTCAAGCGGAGGAATCCTCCATAAGGCAAAGAGTCCCTACTTTGTCTTATGATTTTAAAGAAAACTAAAGAAGACAGGAAGAAATGAATAACAGATCCTGAGAGAGGGGGAGAAGAGGAAGAGATTGAGGAAAGGTAAGTTCGGCATGACAGTGCCGCTTTAAATAGAAATTAGAAACTGTCTAACAGTAATATAGAGAAAATGTGTTTTGTGTAACTTCAGACATATAGTTAAATCCACAACTTTATGAATAATATACCAGAATTCAGATTGACACAAATTAATAGTATACACAAGAATTTTATTATAAGAATAGTATACACAAGATTTTTCCAATTTAACAAACATATATTACTCTGATAAACAGATGAAGAATGTATGAATATGGTGACTGTTTTAGGCATTTAGTCTATCTATACTAAAATTGCCATCTGTTTCAATTTTGGACTTTTGGATCTGTCTTAAGACGCTCTCTTGATATTTTAAGTAGATCATATTCACAGGTACTTTGTTTACCCGGCACTGTTAATACAGGCCGAGTCATAGTTACTTGTGATACATAATAACCGAAGGATTAGTTACAGAGTTGGAATAAGAACCATTCTTCAATACAACAAGGACTGTTTATTTGGGATAATTTATCATTACAGAATTGTAATTCCATTGAGAGACACATACAAATCTTGTGTATACTATTCTTATAATAAAATTATTGTGTATACTATTAATTTGTGACAATCTGAATTCTGGTATATTATTCATAAAGTTGTGGATTTAACTATATGTCTGAAGTTACACAAAACACATTTTCTCTATATTACTGTTAGACAGTTTCTAATTTCTATTTTTAAGCTCCTGGATACCTGCACCTCAGGGTGGTTTGAATTTTGTTAATTGTATGCTCTTGATTACAGTGAGTTATCAGGTGCATGGTGAGGGCAACCCTTTAATCAGTATTGGGGATACACTCAAAATACAACTTTTCCAAAGCCAAAATCAGCTTGTGCAGGAATTTGAACCTTTTTCGGCTGTTTCAAGGTCTAGGAGCAATGGGTCAGAGATCTATTGTAAACCATTATTTAATATGTTGTATACATTTAGAAGTAATACTTTTCATATTGAAAAAAATCCAGATATCTTATGCAGTGCTAATAACATGACTCACACAAGGTCACCAGATTCTGAAAATAGGTTTTGAATATGGCTTTCAACTAAGATCCTCTATAAGGATGCTGCAGTGTCAAATAGCAAGCATCCAGCTGTGTGTGTGAAAAATGATTGCAGCACCATTAGTGAATTGCACTTGATGAGAAGAACCAAAGTTTCAAGATTCTCCCAGAAGCTTCAGCTTCTAGCACCATTTGCTCCGTCTTGATAAATAGTTCCCTTTGTTATCATGCTACTAATAGCTTCCTCCTTCAGCAATACCCTCAATCACATTTTGACAATGGGCTTTCCCTCCAGCTTTAATCTGATTTAATAGTGCAGTTTCTATTCTTCTGGAGCTGCAATCAAGTGAAAGCGCTCGGCCATGTAACATGCTCTCCATCATTTGAATGGAGCTGTAAGTTTAAGTCAGAGGTCACTCACCATCAGACATTGATATCAATCTTTTGTCTGCATGCTCCTGGATTATGAAATGAGTAACGTCACTAAATAATAGTTTATTGAAGTTAAGGGCTGGAGGTCCAGACAAGTAAAAGGTGTGAGTGTAGCACAGGATGTCAATCACTCAGTTCACGATAAACCTCTCTGTAGTGCATTATTGTAGATTTGGTGAGTTACCTACAGTAGCAATGGAACTGTATTAAACACAGGGTAGTGTGCTTTTGTTTCTGTAAAATATAAGATCTGACAGTAAAATTTACAGTTTGTTGGCTTTTTTTCAAAAATATTATTGGTTGAAATTTCACAAAAAGTAATTGCAGTATACTGTTACTGGTAAGATTGACAGGATTTCACATCCATATATAATTATAATTTATTGAAAAAATGTTGGCTGTGACTACTTATTTACCCAAAGAAACAAAGGATGGACAAAATCATGTTTTTTTTTTTTGCTTTAGGGGAAGGTTTCCCTACAGCAGGGTAGTAAGAAAATGTGATTTATATGTGAAGAGCATGTCCTCTCTCTTTCAGAAGTCAATAGAAATTGGCACTTTTACAAATTAACCTTTTTACAGCCCCCTGGCTGTCAATCCGACATCCAGTCCTTTACTTCCTGGTTTGATTGGCTCAGTGGCGCTTAACTCAGGAGACAGCAATTGATCAGAACACCTGCCTTGCAAAGACTTCTCATTGGGAAGTCTGTGATTGGACAACCACAGACAGTCTGGGTGGGGCTAAAAGAGGAGGGCTTGCAAAGGCAGCAAGCAGCAAGACATCTGCAGGTTTTGCAAACAGTTTTTATATATATCCCCACTGAAAATATGAATAATTAAATGCAAGCATGTTTAGTAAACAGTGTTTTTTTTCTTTTTCTTTAAATTAAAGCAGTGAGGTGTCCCTGTAAGTTTACAAAACATGACAATGGACAGAGCTTAAAGCAAAGTTCTGTTTCTGTGGCAAATCAATTTTACCCACAATCCATCAGTAAAATCAATCCCACAGAAGTACAAACAGCATACATCATGGACAGAAGAGCACAAAATAACTGCACCCAGGTACTGAGATCCGGCACAAAGAAGAAATTGTCATGGGATATAAATATAAATAATAATTTACATACAGGGGGCATAAGGAAAGGAAAACCAAACGGAAAAATAACAGGGCCACCATAAGAATTGAATTTGTGAGAACATTAAGAAACTTGCCACAGTAAAGCTCCTATAAACAATGAAATCTTTCCAGTACAATACCAGATGCATTGTGTCACTGTAGAATGGTTTGATTGGTATAGGTTTATAGCAGACTGTTATTTATATATACTCTTCAGGGTTCCCGGCCCCACTCTTATTTATTTTCCCCATTTTCCAGGGTGAATTCAAATTTTTAAAAATTAAAGATTTACTCAACCTTTATTCAGCGCCGAGGCTCCTTCAGCACTTCTTACCTCTCCATCTTCTGTGACATCATGAAAAAGGCATGTCTTCCTCCATTGATGTCCAATCCAATGCTCCACATTCACAGTCCCCATAGGAAAGCATTTAATCAATGCTTTTCTATGGGGCTTCCACGTAACGTCACAAAAGTTTATCCTCTGGGGCTCCTGCTTAACGTGACCGAATTTTACTGAATCAGTGCAGTGGAAGCTCCTCTAGTCATACTGACAGTCACTAGACATGGACTTAACCATGCAATGTAAGCTTTGAGAATGTAAGCTAACAGAGACTGTGTACAAATGTGTTTTATAAGTGTTAAAATGCATTTAGTTCAGAGGTTTTATGGCAAGCAATGACTGATGGGAAATTGCTGCACATAGTAGTGAAAGTTGGGCCTATAGCCAGATTTTGACAGCATTCTATGCCAAGTCTGTCTCATGTACCTCTTCTGACTGCACTGGAATTTCAACAGTGCCACTTTCATTTACATATAGTTGATAAAGCTAAAATGTAAAAAATAAAATGTAAATTATATCACCAAGGATTTATTATATAACTAAGAAGTTTCCAAACCTCCTCTTTCAGAAATAACAGAACCCAGATATGTATACATAAGCATGCATGCATTGCATTAACAGTGGAAAGCTTTTTTTTTTAGTATATTAAATTAATACAATGAATATAAAAATAAATTTACACAAAATTTTGAGCTGTTTCTCACACTTCATCCTCATCAGCACTGTAACTGCTAAATGTGTTGTAGCACATGTGGTACATTGCTTACATTTTCTATTTTTTGTGTGGATATTAAAATATAATAAATCCCATAGTATCAAATTCATGATCTTACTGTGCCCTGTAAGCCCTCCATAAATGTACAAACAATGGTAGGCAAGACATAATGGGGAGCGTTACCAAAGTGTTTTGTTCTAAAAGAGTGGTCTAAAATACTGAGATGCAATCACCATGGAAACCAGTAGAACCAGCAGTCACATACCATTGTTGACTACTCCCATTTACAATTTTGCACCACTTCTTAGAACACTTTGCTAAATCTACCCCAATGTTTTGACCTCCATCCTACATCATGGAGTATCATTGTAGACAATTGTCCCATGTATGCCGTGAACCCCTGTCACTTATTTTTTGATAGAGGTTAAACTATTTTGAGACCCAATTGCCATTAGGTAATTTCCATATAAATAGTCCCTTAGAGATGCCCCCACCATCACACCACTTCCAGTGCCACTATTTCCTTCAAAGCCAAATGCAAGACTGTCGGGATTCACAAACATTCTGATTTATTGTCTGTAATATGTTATTTGCTGGTTGTTTTTCAGCTGTTTAAGGTAAATACAATGTTTAGGCTTACTTCCATCTCACAACGTGACATTTGTATCTCTCTTCTTTCACAATCCCATTTTCTACTTCTTGTGTAATAATTTCTGTATATACCATTACACAATTCCCCAAGTGATGCTTATATTTATCCCTTTGCACAAATTGAGAGCACGTAAATTTAAAGCAAGCATAACGCAAAATAAAACAAAGTTACTCTTCATTGCTTTTACCAGAGGGATCACTCTGAAAGCAAAATTACATGTCTTTTCTCCAACTCCCATATGTCTATGTTGTCATTTTTGTTACAATCAGTGAACATGTTATTGAAATATATCAGAAAGAGCATATTACTTTGCACCACTGCAACTCAAGGTGGCTTTTTCTGAAGCTCTCCTGGAGATATTACTATAAGCTAAGAAAAAAGTCTCCTGACTTAAGGGAAAAATCAGAGAATGGCCATTGCAGTGTGCAAGTCTGAAATTGAATTTTCTTTTCTAGGCCAGTGTGACGAAGTGCCTTTCGCCACTTGTGCCTGGAGAGGACTAATTGCCAGCCTCCTGCCATGTGACTATGGTCCCTGGGAGACTTTGCCAGTTAAAAAGACTATTTGGGCTTATTGGCTTTTAAAAGACTGTTTCTGCCCTTTGATTCCATGGGAGCATGTGTCTCTTCCCCTCCCCCTCTAATACCTATACCATTGTTCTCCAGCAGGGAGTTGTCCCAGGGACACTGCCAAACCAGTTGAAACAAGCTGTTTTGTCCCAAACAGGACTTTTACCTAACTTTTGAAC